ACTTTTATTTAAAACACACTATTTGCAATACAAGCATATTTTGTATTTTTTATTTTAGCGCATCACATAAAAGTGTTACGTATTTTGTATTTAAAATCGAAAGATTGAAAGCTTTTTGTATCTTGTAATTTAAATAATAAGGTTGATTATCAATGTTAGTATTTGAAATACAAAATACACAAAATATTTTTATAATCTTTTGTTATTAATACTAAAATACAAAATACAAAATACTTTTATATGCTCCCATGAAATACAAAATTTTCATGTACTCTGAACGAACACAAAATACAAAATATAATTGTCCTACCAATACTGTTTTTCAAATAAAAGTATTTCAAATACATGCCCATCTCTGTCCCACGAAATCGATAAATTGCCAGCGTTGAGTTTACGATTATACATTGTATGACGAATGGAGACAAGCGGATGTTTCAAAGTCGCCTTCGCCAAGCGCCGCGAGGCATTCGTCGGCGATCCTTCTCGCTCATACGTCTCCAGAGATTTCCGGTAAACGCAAAGCGATCCAAGATTCACGCTCAGGCGAGAATATCTCGCGTCTGAGCGGGTCCCGTATTCCCAGCCGCGCGATTATCCGGAATTTATTTAGTCGTCGCGATCCGCGGGTGCATTATCGCGCCTGCCGCTATGCCGCCGCGCCGGCGGGTGCATTAACGCGTTCGTGATGGCCTGCGGTGAGACGCTTATATCGCTGTCAGAATCTACGATTAGTAAAGTAACCCGCATTTCGACCCGGGAGCATTTTGTTCCGATAAAACTCTCTCGGCTTGCGTGCGGCCCTAAATTGAGACGCGAGCCGACGTATCCTTTGGGGTTTACGACGACCAGTATAAGTCCACCGACGAAAAACTTCTGCTCCGTGCCGCCGTATAAATATTCATTACAGACGATATGAGGGACGTGTTTCTTTGCGGTTCTCCAAATCTTAGATGATTTCTGTATTCAAGGGGGATCATAAAAAAGTGTAAAAATGTTTAATTAATAGTTTATGTCGAAGCTGTTTATACTTACGCGTGTAAATATAACCGTCTTATCAGATTTCTCTTAAAAAAAAAAAAGAATTTCTTGCTTGGTTTATTATCTTCTATTATTTGAAAGTACAAATTTCTTTTTTGCTTGTTTCTTCTTCCTCCTCGTCGTCTTCGATAATCGTCTCACCGACGTATGCAGCTTACGCTGCCACGATTTTAATCTAATTAGAGCCAAATTCACGCACCGCGCACAGTTACATGCGTTACCGCAATTATGTCGTGATTACGTGGCGTGATTACATGGGTTTGTATTACACGACGCGATGCTATGTAATGCGCATCACGGGAGCCGTTCGAAAGGGCTTTCGAACGCGGCCGGATTAATTGAATGCGGAGCGAGATATTAGCGATTACGTGGATGGCAAAATGCGCGGTCGGTGATTTCTGCAACGAACGTGGCGAATTCACCGAGAAATAGTCTTCAGTGCAACCCTCGATGAAATTCTTCGTCAATCGGTGCTTAGATATTTCTGCGAGCATCCCTAATTCATCTCTCGCGTGCCACTCTCGTAACTTTTTCTTGCAGCGTAAACCGTAGTAATCTCCGAAACAGTAATCGTGTTTAAGTAAATTTCTCGATGAAATTATGTCGGAGGATAAATCCTAAATTTATGCCGTACAGTCGTAAATCATCCTGCATATGGCTCTCTTGGCATATACGTTGGTAACTCAAGTACTTGGACGACAAGGCTAGAGACAGCTTCAGTCAGCTTGTCATAGTGCATTCTCATTATTTAGAGAAGCTGCATTACATTTTATGCTTTAGAGACGAAGTCGGAATATGTATATATATTATATGTAATAATGTTGATAAGCTTTTATATGTATTTTATTAATGATTTCAATTTTAAACCCGTTTTCTATGATCATTCTATAAGTTTCCTAATTTTCAATTCCTTATTGAGTATTGATTGTATTGTTGTTGAGTACACGGAGAGAATTTTCTTTTAAAATTTACCCGGAAAATATGGTGATTGTGGTACAATACAATATTTTAAAGATTTTTACCATGCACTTTAGTAAAATTAATCAAACTTATTTTATACTTTATTGTAGTTTTATTAATGAATGAGAGAGATTTATATTAAAATTTTTCGAAATACAATGTTGTCCCACGATTGTCATATTTTCAGGGTAAATTCTAAGAAAAAATTCTCTCCGTGTATTATTATTGTAACATTTTAATTACTATAGGGTAACTCCGGCAAATACGCCGCGCTGGGATTTATGCCGCAGAAGTCAGAAAAAATAGAAAGAGTAGGGATAATTTTCTCGCAACTACTCTGTTACATGCCTTTATTTATATTAGTATTGAGTTATATTAGTATTGAGTTATAATTTCAGCTTCTTACTGTTAATATTAATGAAATTATTGTAAGTTGAATCGATTTGTCACTGTGTGTAACAAGTAGCATCATAAATTATAATCTACATAAAATGATTACTGTAAGGCGTGTAAAAGACCTAGTGGTTATTTCATGATACATACGTGTAGAGGAATAGTAAAGCATGTTGTATAGAGTAAGATACAAGTGCTTTGCTTTCGTATTCTTTGTTTAGTTTGTTGAAACCCTTGCATTTTTGCCATATATCCCACTTCATTATCTATATATAGCAAAAATGCAAGATTTCAAAAAGTTTATTTTTTAATGTGAAAACTATTATATTTCGGATTTTTAATATTTTTTTCATAGTAGTAGACAGTACAAAGTTTTTACTGATATAGTTCGTTTATTTTAAACATACTAAATAATACTTAATAAATTAAGTTTTTAATAGGTGCGGCGTATACCGGATTATTTTCAAATGGATTATTTTTTCTATAACATGCAGTGTTCAAAATCTGTTTTTATTCAGCAGAATATGATAATGACAAATATATCTTTCTAGCCATTACATAGAATTCGTATTCAAAATTGCACGTAAATAATCAAACCTGACGAAAATGATATCGTTTTATACGTATTTCGCGCTATCGACTCAAACAACGAGATGAACAAATGTGCAGTGCATTCGATTTTCAATTTGCCCATTCGTCGATGCGCTTTCTGCCCGTTGGTGCACCAGCGATGACCCAATTTCGCGAACTTCGAGTACAGGCTGCGTGGTGTTGGAGAAGCAAATTGGATAACGATAATTCCAGCGATTCCACCCATCGCCGCTTCCCGCCTATCGTCGTTACGCTTCGCTCGCGAATATCTGTAGGATGATCCTCGACCATAGGATAAACTGAAGTACGACCGGGTTAATGGTTCACTCGAATACAACCGGAATTTGTATTTGCTATAACTTAGCAGATTAATTCTACAAAGTTTCGGATGATTAAGAGATATAACGCCTCACTTGAACAGTTTCAATAGTTTGGAACAAAATTATAAAGTTGTTTATTGAGTTTATCTTCTTCGAAATATATACAGACATATATGATATACTTCACTCTTGAACTTAGTGTTTTTCAGTTTTATTCGTTTCAACTGTTCTATAATATATTTATCGAACGTGGGATAAGAATGGAAATATATAGTTCCTATCATTTCTTCGCTAAAGAGAATAGAGTCGAAAACTTACTGCAACACACTTCAAAGCCATCGATTAATATTTTTAACAAAAAATGAAAATATATATAGTGTACATGTGTATATATATATATTTTACACTATATATGTTTTCATTTTTCGTTAAAAATATTAATCGATGGCTTTGAAGTGTGTTGCAGTAAGTTTTCGACTCGATTCTCTTTAGCGAAGAAATGATAGGAACTATATATTTCCATTCTTATCCCACTTTCAAATTTAAATATTACAACCGTTTCTTTAGACCGTTTCTGCTTTTGCTGCAAAAATGTTTTCATAAAAAATAAAATAAGATTATAAGAACAAAACCAAATTACAGCGGAAAGAGCAACTGAATAATCTCTCGCAGATAAATAATGAATTAATCAATAATTTGTATCTATTGTATTATTAACGACTAATTAAGTCATGTTGGGTTATAATTGATAAATGTTAAATTAATAATGTTATGATTTTACACAAATTAAAATAGAACTGACGTTATTGCACCATCGACATACTTTGCTTTATATCGCTTTGCAAAGAATACTTTGCCTGTACAGTGAACGCGTTTTCTTCTAATTGCTTCACAAACGCTTTCGGATCGCATTAAACAGTGGAATCATCGTGAAAAACGAGGCGAAGAGAATTTTATTACTCGAAAACTTTATTACTCATAAATCTGATAAAGGAAAGATTTTCTTTTAATTTTTTGTGTATATAAAATAGAATGAAATCTCTCTCAATATTAATACGAATTATTCTAAAATTAATGGAGCAAAGAGATATTATTAATATAATAAAAATAAAAAAAATATTTTTGCTTTATCTACAATAAGTTAAGTCTTTATATAAGTGATTTTATTTTTTGCTAGAATATGATATAAATTACACGAGTCGTATATAATTTTATTTTACAACACGCAAATACTAATCTATTCCATTATTATTTTCAATGTCCTGAACGTTTAATAATTTTATGAAATTATAATGAAGCGCAAGATAAATATCTGCCTGGACTTTGGAAAAGGGGAGACGAAAGAAACGGATAAAATGTAGAAAATACAATTAAAACAGGACTTATTATTACTTACAGGATCAAGCGCGATCAATAATTTCTTATCGAGAGGCGTTCACGCGATATAGGGTTAATCGATTTAATTCAAATCTGTCATCTTCCTAATCCCCTCTATTGAGACTCCATTATTTCTGAGCACGCTTGCCTCCATTGTGAATGATATGCTTGTGACGTGCCCTGTTTCATTTGCATCGCGAGATGAAACGTTGCGCGCACGGAAACAGCTACATCGAAAAAGAGAAAAAGTGGGAGAGAGAGAGAAAGAGAGTGTATGTGTTGTGTACATGTGTGGCTTTACATTCGTTCTCTTATTTACAGAATGGAGAGTCACCGCAGTACGTGACGGACAGACTTCGGCAATTCTCGGATCCTTTGGCAAGGTTTCAACCAATTAACGGTGAGTGGTATTACTCACATTCCACCCTGCGTACGGTTGCTTACAAATTTAAGCTCTCGGGGAAAGGTACTTAAGGTCGCAACATAGACTTTTGCATAACGCATAATGTATAAGCGAATCAATCAATCATAATACTTCCTTTGCTTTTATTTCATAGAAAAAAAGGATTTTGATTGGTTGAGACGCTATGCGTTATGCAAAACTCTGTACTGCGTACAATTTATATGGAGTTTACGTAGAAAAAAATAGACATTTTAAATTTATCTTTATCTTTTTATTTGTGTACTTTGACTGTGTCCAGAGAACACGCTATCAGCGCTTTTATGCTGTTCTATCTTTATTGTTCATTATACGTAAAACAACAGTAGAGTGATACAATAGCGTTGATAGTGCGGTCCGCGAATGCAGCCTTTATAATAGAAAAACTTTTTTAAATTTTTCTTATTTTTACTAAATGTTTTGCCGATGTTACATTTCGTTACTGGAAGTTTCTGGTAATTAATACTGCAGTTAAAAGGAAAAATTCATCACCATTATTATTTATTAAATTAAAGCTGTTATAAATTAAAGAAGGACTTAATTTGCGTACGTCCGTCTTTACCAACTATTTGATCTTTAAATTATGTCTCATATGTTAGATTACGTCTCTATTATGGAGCACACATGGCACAGAAAGATTGTTAGAGAAAGATCGTATGGTATCTTTTCTGCGGCACGTACTCCTTCGCAGAAGAAACAGCGAAATGATTAGTGCACCGTGTGTCCGTAGTCTCGCAAATTCTCGTCGCTCATGACTCGTTCTGTCACGCAAAAAATCATCAACATCTGCATCGCATAAGGCAGCATTAGTGCAAAAGTCGTTATGCAGCCTCACGATTGAAGAACCCATAAGATCAAATTTGCGTTCGTTGTCTCACGTGCACATCGAACAAAAATAGATCATATTTCCGTAAAAATATGTGGACAAGTGTAACTTTTTGGTACATATATGACGTACCCAACCCTGCATATATGTGATGCTTTAGACAACCATATACTGTGTTCTTTTTTTTAATCAGATTCTATAACAAGATCAGAATTACTTTTTTCACTGAATAAAACTTTAATGGAAACACTGTATTTATCGCAAATTTTTGATATTTCTTCTATTTTAATTAATTGATTAATTATATAACTCTTAAATTGCATCTGTAATGATATGTAAATTAAATTAAATTTGTTTTTAAGAATTGAGAAGTACTATGTAAATCTAAATTAAATTCGAGAAATCAAAACTTTATGGTGAATTGTTAATTTAAGAAATGCATATTGTATTGCAGATTTTTCAAGGCTATTTAAATTGTGATTATAAGTAATTTTGAAAATAATGACATTTATTCAGAATAAATTATATCATCAAATTGATAACTTTACATATATTGCTTTCTTTAAAAATAAGACACAACTTATATAAAACGTGATTTTCGAGTTATTGTCGTGAATGAGTTAGATAAACATTACTCTGTCAGTGTGTGTGTGTGTTATCAAAGGTGAACTAATAAAAAAAAATCATCAAAATATTATAACTCAAAAAGAGTGATTTAAAAAAAATTGTTACAATTAGTCAAAAAAGAATAACTTTTTAAGAGTTGTGAATGACAAAAATGAAAGTTGATCACACATGTTAAGAATATATTTTTTTTTACCGATTTGATTGGTCAATAACTTTCTGTTCAGAAAAAACAATTTTTTCCTTTTCCTAGGAAACTCAATTTTTTTAGTTTTGTCACTTTTGAAGTAATGGAGCCATATGGAAACCATAAGTCTTACCGTACAGTGATATCGAAGATATTGCCGGCGGTTATAGGTCAGATACAAAAATAATATTTCATATCGTCTCAATTGGTCGCGTGAACTTATCTGAAATAGTTTAACGGTGCGCAAACAGAAGCGATAAGACTCAGTTGCGACCGAAACTTCCGTCGTTTCCGTTTCCTTTTCAAACTGCTGCTTCGTCGTCGTTGCTCGGGGAGCATTTCCAGAGGGAAGGCGACAGCCTGTGCGAATATTATCGTTAGAATCGTACGTGTCGCGTAATCTTCGGGAGCAGAGAGGTACATACTGACGCGCATCTTACAAAGTAAACCGACATGGATGATTTAAAATGGTGGGTCATTTGAACGTACCCCCGGCAGGTATTTTTAAGCAGATTAATGTCGGACACGAGACGGGGCATTAAGCAGATCGGTATTAATGAGTTTTGTCATCCTTGAGTGACACCCGAGTCTCCGTTTGGTTACACTCGCCGCTATAGATAGCCCACCCATGCGCACTTCTGTGGTGCAACATTTCTCCCCACGACCGTTCGCACGCTCGCGTGCGTAAAGACGATATATCGTGCATACGAAAATCTTCGGATGTACGTAGAAACTAACGAGATTATCCGTCGCACTTGCTGTGCTAAAAGAGCAAGGCGAATTGGCTCGCAGAATCTGGATAACCGGACAGAGTGTCATTTCATTGACGTCGAATGTAAAGGCAAGTTAAATAAAATGAGATAAGAGATAACGGAAAAGATTGTTTATACTGAGATTTGATGGGAAAGTATATACGGTGTACTTAAAATCTTTGAATTTTCTCTTTACACCTGAAGAGATAATTTTGCGTTAACGAAATAATACTAATTATTTTTATTTCTCTCGTAAAAAAGTTGAAAAGATTACTTTAATCGAATCGAAGTATTTTCGTAGATTTGATTTCTATTCTTTCCGTATCTTATTTAATACATCTCTTCTGTAGGATTTACTTTGTACATTCGTTGACGTAGAGTGGAATTTGATTCGCTCAACTTTTCGTCAATTACGAATAAAGAATTTTGATAATTATGGGATTCTCTGAGATTTTCAGTGTTTATTAATTTCTTGACGCTGCAGATGTTACAGAATTTTCCACGTTTAGAGCGTAACATCTTTATATTTTTAAATTCACGATAATTTATTGCTTCTCGATAAAGTACTCAAGTTAAAGGCTTCTATATTGTCCGGTTTCTAAAAACTTTATCTCGGCTTTGAAATTAAAAACTTGATTCCACTCGTATGCTTTAAATTCTATTAAAAGTTTGCACAACGCCCTGAAAGCGAAAGGGTTGAAAAAATGCTTTGTCGCATCTGGTGCCTGCCCGCCCTTTCCGTGTCAGTAGTAAAACGTATACTGTGAATAAGCCTTGATACCATGAAGGCAATAACCCCCATCAAGCTAGTATTGCGAATCTTTATTTACGAAGATACTTTATAACAGACTGGCCATTTCCATTTTTACTTCGTTTATTTAACATAGAAAATATCAATAGGTATTGTGTTTTGAAGGAACAAAATGATTCGGAGAAGAGCTTTTAGATGACCGGACGTAAAGGCATTTGAAGATTCAACAACACTCGTACAATGGATTCGGTACTTGATATCCGGCACAGAGACTATAAAAGCAATAAATCCAATATACCGTTATACCCGACTGTTTGGTTGGCTTTTTGATATCATACATGTAAACTCACACTTTGCCGTGTGTGTACCGAATATTCGCTCTTTTAACTTCCTGACCAGATGAATGATAAATCTTTGGAGGCTTTGATATCAAACATATGTGCGATCAGTTTATTGTCTCATTTGGGATAGCAGAAAGAAATTATTTTCGTGATGAAAGTTAATCAATATTTATGCATATATAACATTTATTTATTATATTTATATTTAAATATATCATATACATATATAGGATGATTCATTTTAATCTTAATAGGCAAATATTTTGAAAATATACAGTTTTACAAAAAACAATTCAAATAAAAGTTATATGATGTAAAGGGGGATGTCACTATTGTACATCTTCCTTTACGCTATATAATTTTTGTTTGGAATGTTTTCTTGGTAAATTGTATATTTATATATATTAGACTAGACTATGCATTATACACCATGTTCTCTCATTGCACATATTATAATACATATATTTTACACTTTTTTGCGCCACACAAGATGCAAGTGCATTTCTGAAACGCATTTCTTGCTAATATTCATTTTAACGTCGAGCCTTTTGTAACATTCGATTCGATTAAGGAATTTAATAGAATTGTGAAGCGATACAAAGATTTCGTCTCGCGATATTTCCGTCGATTATCTGTCGTTTGCTACCTATTTTCAACGTTTATCAATCACGCAGTCCGCAATACGGAGCTGAGATTAATCCTCCTGTCAATAGCTTGCGGTCAGGTCGCTTTCCGACGATCGATTCTCTCGGCACACCAAGTTCTCGCGTAGTGCATGATGTACTATCCGCCTCCATCCGTCTGCTTTTTCGAATGCTTCTCTCTCCGTCCCTCGCTTCTCGACAATGCCACAAAGACGATGCGGCGTGATGCGTTTTGAGATAAATTATTCGGGAGGCAGGAGACCGCGCGTTGGAGGGCGCGGCCCTATTTTCCGGTCGACCGCCTGTGCAATTTCGATCGCTGGCACGCCAAGAGAGGCTGCCTCGATGCCACCACAATGCGGCCTCGATCTTCGTAATTGACTTCCCATCCGAGGTCTCCTCTGACACTTCGTCAGCCCGTAAATGCTCGCATAAAAAGAGAAAAGAAGAAAAAATATGATCACGCTGTCGATCGCGTCGAAAAGACGTGTGCCGTTGTCAATTTCCGTGAAATATGCGACCCGTCTCTATTCATTGTTTCCCTTACGCTTATTCGACGAGATGGCATTTATTTCGAGCAATTATTGCGTTATCAAAATCAGAGTATGAGAGAAATGTAGAAAATTGTTGAATGGGAATTTAAACAAATTAGACCTTATAACAGACGCGTTATAATACAAACAAGAGTACGTTTAAGTAACACTTGCATAAAATTATATATATTGGGTTGGGGAAAAAGTTTCTTCGTATTTTTTAATTCAAAATTGTATATACAATATCTTCGTCAAAAATTAACGAAATTAAAATTTAAAAAAGGGTTTTAAAGCTCTCTTGAAATCTCTACTTTCGAAAGGTTACTATATTTTTTGAGTTTCTGTGAGTTTGGTAATTTTTACATTTAAAAAATTACGAGCTGAAAAGGATGAAAATTGTTTCTTTTCACTTTGGGGATCTCTCACGTGCCTAAAAAAAATTTACGAAAATTTTCGACTACCTATTGTGAAAGCTAGAAGCTTTCCCTACAAAATCATTTTTTTTAAATGTTCCTATGATTTTTTGTTCCTGAGTTATTCGCGAGTTAAGTAAAGGAGCATTCTGACTTTGATTGCTCATAACATAACGCCGATAAAAATTATCATACCGCAATTTAAAAAACAGATTCTTAAAGCTGAAACTTTGCTCCAGCGAACGATATAATTGTAACGAAAATTTCGCAACAAATGAAAAACTTTTGTAAAAATATTTTTTTTAAATACGAAGAAACTTTTTCCCCGACCTAATATTTATGAAATATATATATATACAAGACGAAATACAGAAATAGTTTTTCTCGTAAGATTATTCAGTTATCTGTCAAGTCCTAAAACTCGTGGCTTCTTTCGTTTCCGATGTGTCCGTTCTTATTCAACGTGAAGATATATTAAACCCATTCTACAATTGCGTAAGCATTGCAAGTGGTTGTAGTTGTAAGAATTGACTAATCATGGTCGAATATAAGGAGAATATTCAACTGTAATTGATCAACTGTAATTGATACAACCATTACAGCTGTACGCTTACGCAATTGTAGAATGGACTTTAGTTTTCCCATAGCTTTATATATCTTCATAATTTTATTATTATCCCACTTGGAATGCTATTGTTCGACAGGCTTATTATGCGTAGCAAATTATAGAACCAATTTTTAATTTTATTTTTGTATATGAATGGATTAATATTCACATGGAATTCACTTCGCACGCGTTTACCTGATTCCGAATTGTAGTCGTTTAACGCGAAGATTGGTATCAATTTAATTTATTCTACTCTATTTTAATCTTAATCATAAAATATATCACGATAGCGATACCGGTGTCACTCATATGCACCATTAAATGTTAACAAATTTATTTCTCGTCATGTAACAGTGTGTTTCTCAACACTCCGAAAGACGTTCATTTACTACGCATCGTTAATCTGCTCGTAAACGCTGAATATTGCTCGTGTAAATGCCATTAGAGCTATCGTCATCAAGATCAAGAGCCTCTTGGTGCACTTTACCTACACTTAATGCAAAATGGAGCGAATATCGTTATCGGGTTAGTTGATAACTCTTACATTAATTGACTTTGCACGCCTCTCTCAAACTAAGATAACACACGATAAATTATTAACATAAATTAAAAAATTGCATCAGAGAGACGTAGTGATGAACGTAGAATGTTTGTGAGAGAAAAGTCAAGATCCAAATCTAATTAAGGATGTATAATTAGAATATGCACGCAAATAATTAGAATTTCCTGTATATCATCGAGCAAACGTCTACATATCACGCATGCAGGCGACTCTTAGGGTGACGGTGTGTCGAAGTAACCAACGGACTCTTACATATGTTCTATATTAAATTATTGCGTTTATGCGACACTACCCTCGTACTAGCGAAGAAGGAACGAGAGAGAGAGAGAGAGAGAGAGAGAGCACGAGTAGGAAGAGCGCAAGAGACCGAAGAGCGGAGAGCCGACCGGTACTTGGACATTTATCCCCGCAGCTATTTCCGTGAGACACTTGTAATGTTTTCGTTTTTCCTCCGTGCCGAAAATGCGGCGGGATTAATTGGCCTACATTCTGAAAATAGATGAGCGCTACGACGTGCGCGTGTACGTGCGTGTCCCGCGTGTGTATGAACGTGCGAGTCGACATGCACGCATGCACGCGTTGAACAGTTTGTTAAAAATCGTTATCGTGTACAATCGACTGGTTTAATTAAATCTTAACTTTCAAGTCTGCACGTGTATACAATAATGTAGCTAATTAACCTCTATTGATTCCGTATTCGTTGAAATATTTTGCTTTAGTGCAAAAGACACTATATAAAAAAAAGACACATTTATCCAAATTTGGTTTTGTTTCGTTAATTTCGCCTTTTGCATTGACAAAATTAGAAAAAAAAAACACTTTTTATAGTTATATATAAAAAAAAGTAGTCAATGAAACAAATAATTATTTTCTTTTAGAACTCAAAATCGAATTTATAATCGCATAAGGCAATTTCTCATTTTACTATTTGGTTTCTTTTTGCCCATCCGAGCAGTAGCAGAGTTGTATCACTGTCGACAAGTTGTCATGATATGGTTACTTCGGGCGTGTGAATGCTTCAGCCATGCCAACTCGCATCACGTGCACTGTGTACATGCTTGCTCTGTAAGAGCTTGCGAAGAGATTCTCCCTCGATCAAGTTATTTGCTCCGCAGAACGCTCGTATATGTGTGGTGTTTGTGATAAAAGTGCAATCTATATTGAAATAATAAATTATAACATAAATTTGTTACTATGATATCAAACATATATGTATATTGTACCGAGTGTCGTTTATAATATCGTCACAAATTAAAATCCGATTCCACCAATGTAAGATGAACTTTGGCCGATATTCATAGTCCGTTCTTATTTTAAGACTATCTTAAATAATATCTTAAGATGATACTGTTTTATGATTGGCTTATGACATTTTAAAACTACATTTAAGACAGTCTTAAATATAAGAATCCACTATGAATATCAGCCTTTAATTTCAGTTTAACATACTGTTTATCTTTTTCTAATTCTTAATTGAACCGAGATTAAAATTAATTTTACATTGGTGGGACTGAGCTTAAATAACATGACAATAGAAGCTGTAAAATGCAATGACTTTGCAAAATATATCTTTAGCATGATTTCCCCAAATTTTTCCATTTTTCTTTGATCATATCCGCAGCTTTTTCAGCGATCATATAAATAGGTACATTTGGATGCGCCGATACAATGTCAGGCATAATGGATGCATCTGCCACTCGTAATCCTCGAATACCAATCACCTGCAAAACATTGCATATAAACTCACAAATACTTTCACGTCACAATTCTTATTATTATATATAAATTATTATATATAATATTACGCGTAAATACTCTAGTGTGTTTCATAACAAATACCTTTAATTTAGGATCGACGACAGCAGTAGGATCTCCTCTTGCTCCCATTTTGCAAGTTCCAGAATAATGAAAAATCGTGGAAGTCGTGATCCTTAACGCGCATTCCCAATAAGCATCAGAGTCATATTCGTAGTCATTGCATTCAGTATAAGTATAATTTGACAACTTAGAATCAAATGTCTGCATCGCACTTGTACGACCAATACTTAATGCAGTTCTAATACCCGCGATCATAGTTTTGACATCATCAGGATTACTGAAATAATTTGGTACAATATTTGGCTTAACATTAATGTCATTAGCTAATAACGTTAGCTGGCCACGGCTTTTTGGTTTTAATAATATTGGCGCAAGGAACCAATCATGCCCGTCACAATATTTTCTTTCTTGACGTAATGGGTCTTTATAATCTAATAATCTTGAAAGAATAAAATCTTCTATCAGTGGACCACTAGCAAATATTAATTCGATGTCCGGTAGACCGTTACGTTTTTTTGATTGTTTTGTGTTGATAAAACCAAGGGCTTCGGCTCTACTTGTTAACGGTATAAGACAATCCGTCTTTGTAAGACAATCCGTTACATGTGGATTAATCAAATTGAATAATTCGGAAAATTGTGAATTCATTGATGCATTTGATGTCCATGTTAATCCATAGAAAGTTGCATGGTCCATGAGATTTTTACCGACTGGTGCGTTTTGAATGACGTTTATGCCGAGTTCGCAAAGATGATTTGCTGGTCCAATACCTGACAACATCAACAATTGAGGCGACTTGATCGCACCTGCGCACAGAATAACCTCTTTACTCGCAAACACACGTGTAGTTTGATTATGCTTAACAAACTCTACGCCGATTGCTCGTTTTGTTCTAGAATCGATCAATAGTTTTGTCGCCGTACTCTCAAGAGTTACATAAAGATTCTTGCGATCGTGTATTGGATGCAAGTACGCCCTATTGCTACTCATGCGAGTACCGTTCATGATTGTGAACTGCAGATATGAGAATCCTATTTGATTTTTTCCGTTGTAATCTACTAGTGAATATCCTAGTTCCTTGCCAGCTTCTAGAAAAGCCTCTGCCAACGGGGTATAAGGTGATGCATAATTGATATGTACTGGTCCATTAGTACCATGATAGTAAGTATCCGACTTTAGCTCCGAAATATCCATTGCTTCCATCTTTATAAAATACTTGAGAATATCCTCGTATGCCCAGCCCTCGTTTCCCATCTCGGCCCAACCATCATAATCTTCAGCATTGCCTCTAGTAGCTGCCATGTAATTTAGCACGCTACTGCCACCGATTACTTTTCCCGCTGGGTAAATACAACTGTTACCTTTCATACCAAGACAGTATTTGTTGGAAGGCTTAGTTTTGTACTTCCAATTGATGTTACTGTCCGAAGATAGCATCGGTGCTAATGCAGGAATGTCCATGTAAAATTCTTCGTGAGGTCCAGCTTCAATCAGCAATACTCTGTATTCAGAAATTTCGCTTAGCCTTGCAGCTATTGTAGCGCCGGCCGTGCCGGCACCAATTACTATGAAATCGAATTCCTCATTGTGTCGTGGTGTCATATCCGATACTTCTTGACTTTGAAAACGTTGACTTTGCTCGAAGGAATTCAATGTTTTATTACTCACCAGATTAATGATATTGATCAATTTTGATTCGTTTATATTGTTACCGTAATGTCTGTGATACCAATTTGACGGTGGTTGTTCATGAGACTGTAGTAAGCTGATTACGGCACTCAAAATAAGACCACGAAGAAGACTCGTTACCTTGCTTGGTATATTCAAATGTAGCAGTTGGTACGTGAGCATTGTTGAAGCGTATCTAAGTAAAAAGAGCGAATAGTGTATGACTAATCGTTATGTATACAGTAGAACTTTGTTTATTCAAACATATCAACAGGTGTAGTTATCGATAACCAAATGATTTGAATAATAGATGTTTACTAGTTCTTCCTTCTACTAGTACTTATTACTTCCGATAGTTGGAACTGACATTATTAATCTTTACTCTACTAAGGGGAGTTATTAGTTACCGAGCGATTCCTGTTCGTGCAAGTTTCTTCGCGTCTTTCGGTAATTATAAATTATACTACATTTTATTATTTTCCCAAATGAAGTGCCAATATTTATTGTAGAAAGTTGAAAGTATGTTGGTGAATTTTTAGAAATTTTTTTTAATCATTCTGAATAGGTAAAAAAAAATGGACGGATTCTCTCTCTAGTGCCCCCGTTAGTATGGATGAGGCACTAAATTGTACCTAGTAGGGTAAGGGTTAATTAAAGTTGAGTCTTCTTTAAGAAATCAGTTTTTTTAAATGAATATTTTGTTTCCCCTAAAAGTACGTATCTCCTATTCGAATTTAGAGTTTAATAGAGAAGGTAGTATAAGTATGGTCTTTGTAGATATAATGCTTTCTTAATATCTTCGATCATTATTAGATTACGAATTGATTATTTATGGAATTATTCATTTATTTAGTAATTCGCCGTTACATAATGATGCTAATATCCTAATACACAAAAGCCGATATTGCAACTCATTTTTACCTTCAAGCATTTCGAAACATATTTTCAATGTACATTTTATCATTTAATTATACTTCTCCATTCTATTTAAACTTGAACGTATTATCATATACATGCTTGAGTTGTTCTTTAACATTTTATTTAACTGTACAAATTTTGAGTTATGTAAACAATATGTTACTTTTTAGTACCGTAAACATGTTGACAGTGCGATTTTTTTTTTGAAGTTGTTATATCGAAATGGTTATTCGATAAGCCGGTTGTAGCTTTATTGCTAATTTATGTTCATGTTACTATAGATTTGTGATAGCAGTCTATATACGGAAAAAGTTATGTGTACGTATACATTTGAATACATTTTGCAATATTAGCTGCGATTTTTTTGGTATAATTAAATGCGCCGATATAATTTTAGACATAATAGATGCATTTGCAACTCGTAATCCTTGAATTACTTTGAATTACCGATTACTTGAAAAACATCAATTTAAATTCAAACAATTCGAACTAAAAACTTTCACGTCACATCCCTTATTATTATATTATATTACGCGTAAACTTTCTAAAATGTTTTACAGCAAATACTCTACTTGCATATAATGTTTCAGAATTTTCAGGATTGCCTTTCTTGTAAGAACGTGAAAAAGATTCTAAATCTTGTTTAACATGTTTGAATAATAATTAGCTTTTAAATATTTGAAATAAAATGCAATAATAGAAAATATAAACAATATTAAGAATCTTTATTTATAATAGAAAATATGCCTAGACGCTCAATATGTATACTTGTACTTTTAAGTCCATATCTTTCCTATATATGTATGTGGTTGTTAATGTATGCTCTGCTGTTATAGAGGCTTAAAATGTATGGAGATTTTAAGATTCTTTTTGTGAATTTTTTGTAGACCAATTCCTTTCTTTATCTAATAGCTGTAACAGATAACTCTTATTATCATATGTACAACACAGATAGAAACACGAAAAAATATTCTATTATAAAATCTCATGGTCTTTTAAATTCTTTATGTAATATCTAATATTTTATTTTTTAATCTTCCAAATTATTAATCGAGTATTATGTATTATTTACTGCTTTATCCATCATTGTTGCGTTGACTCTCGGATACTCTAAAGTATATGGCAAACTAAATTTTGAGATTTTTAATTTCTATACAAAACACATGGATACATAATATAATATTATTTTTCGTTAAATACTTTCCGAGTTATGAAACTTGAAAGTGTTATCAACATCGTCAGCCACACATGTTCAAATAACTTATCAATCATTATGAGTTTGCTAGAACATATGTGCTAATTTGCAATAACTGTGCAGTTTTGTCACACATATGCTTCAATAAATTTGTACTAAACAGGTGACTGCGTATGCATATTTGATACAGTGACGGATTAAACATTTAGCCGCCCCAGATGGCTCCATTAATTTATAAATTTGATAAAAGGGAAAATGGATAAAAAAAATGATTTATACCTTCACATTAGCTGGTAAAAACATTCAATAATCTTTAATTGTAAGTAATATAAATATATAATACACTTTTAACTGTATATTTAAAATATCGTTTCTGATAAAAAATATGCTCGATGTAACTCATACAAAAACATTAGATTAATAAATTAAAAATTTATCTTGACTATGTGAAAATTTTCTGTCTTCAAAAATTTGCCGCCCTAGGCAAGTGCCTTGTTTGCCTTGCTATGCGTTAATCCATCACTGATTTTACAAGTTTACTTGCACGTGTGTGGCCGACCTTAGCATTATCCAAGGTTCGACCTTTGTTTATTAGGTTCAAGCCGGATAAAGCTGCTAGCATTCTCGCCGACCGATTGAATGTGATTGGTTGGATATATAAGTAACAACTAATCATGTTCATTTGCTCCGCGAGTATAGGCTAGCCGCTTTGTCGACTTGAATTATCCAGCAAATATAAGGACGCTCACCATGCTCATAGAGCACCATATTGCAAATATTACTATAAAAATAATTCAAGGACCAGCTCCTGATAATGTTGGCCAGTCAGTATCAGACACAGTAAGTCACTTTTTGTTTTTAAGCTAGTAATTTTCCAAGATAACAAATTGTTATCTAGTAATTTTCCGAGATAACAATTCCTTATCTCGGAAAATTACTAGATAACAATTTGTTATCTTGGAAAATTATTAGTTTAAAAACAAAAAGTGACTTACTGTGTCTGATACTGACTGGCCAACATTATCAGGAGCTGGTCCTTGAATTATTTTTATAGTAATATTTGCAATATGGTGCTCTATGAGCATGGTGAGCGTCCTTATATTTGCTGGATAATTAATTATAATCTTAAAGTTTTTCGATAAATTAATTCTCCATATTCTATTTTTCGATATTTCCTAATTTCTTTTTTTTTCGTTTTCCTTTTTCTTTTACTCTTTTTGATTTTAATTCCGACATTTAAATTCTCGATATAGGGGAGCTCCATGACAGGATAACTTTTATTCACAGTTTATATATGATAGTTTATGTTATCTCTGAGGAAGACTCAAAAGTGAGCTGAAATATGTAAGCGCGTTTAGTGAATAAAGAAGTTTCACTAATAGAAAAATATGGCTTCATAGGTGTATTATTTGCGCAACGTCTTTTGCGCCTGACTCCTGTTTTCTTATTCTTTCCAATTCTTTGATAAAAATAACTGATACTGAAAAAATTCATTGAACAAAAATTGATTACTGTTATTTTTTATCTTGTATATTTTTTATACATTTTTAATGTACTTAACAGATTGTTGAAATAGATACAATAACACAAATGCAAAATCGATAAAGATCGTATTTATGCATAAACGTAATATATAAATTTTTCTATTTTTTATTAAAATCATTCAGTATTTTATAGGTGATGCTTACATCGCAATATTTCAAGTATAAATCAGTAGGGGCGATTGAGTTAGTAGACTCATTTTTCAATTTCGAATTTTTACAGATGAAATTAAGAGACTTATCGAAAAAATGAATTCTATAACAGTTACTACATACATTTAACTATCTAATAATACATATTTTAGTAATAAAGGGAAACTAATAACTAATATGAAAAAAATGCATTTTTTAAATGTATTCTGAGTCAACTAGCTTCGGAACGGGGGTAAGGTGACTAATGGTGCGAGGTAATTTGACTAAAATTATTAAAATGAAGATTAATGTATTTGAAGCTACATCTTTGACTATACATGTTAATAAAACTTTTATAAAAATATATTTTAAACACAAATATTCGCTTTGCAGAGCAGAACAAATTTGTTTGTTTCGTGCAAAAACACATCAAATGCGTTTAGTTTTCTTAATTATTATTAACTAAACTGCTGAGGTAAATTTCTTTAATGGAATGAAATACTGAGTAGTACTATAAGAGTCATATAGCCTCATGCTGTAGTTAGCCCCTACTATCCCAATCTGTTCATTTTTTACAAATATTAACATTATACGATAATAAAGACACACAAACAAAAGTATGTTAGACTTTATTAAGTAAGAACTACACTGACTAAATCGGAATCAAATGTCTCAGACAATCGTATATGATTGTAAAACAAAAATTTTAAGAATAAAAGTATTTACTTACGTGCACGATTTTTTTAAATTGTAGCGTAACTTTTATGATAGATGTATTCGCGACGAGATATTACAGCAGACTAAGCGGCAATCGCTGCTATGAGTGCTCAGACACGTTCATGCGTGTTTTGAATATTTTGTTTTTAACGAGCCACGATTATTTTATTATCTTTATAATCTACAGCATTTATTATAGAATAAAGTCGGTATGAATTCCGATCGGAATTATTCCGTTTTCCTCAGAAAACACAATAGAAATATAGGGAATAATTGAATAATTCTGATTGAATTGAATAATCCATTCCGATTTTGTTCCATGATAGGAGTCCTCATCCTGGTCTCCCCTATATTACTTTTTTAGTTAGTAAATGTCGATTATTCCAGTCACTAGAAGTTTTTCTATTACGATGATCAATGAATTTTTTAAATACTCTTATTATTATACTCTCATTAAATAATATCGTACAAAATTTTTTTAAACTTTTAGAAGTGGCTTAAAAATACAAAATATAAAGAATAGGGAGCATAAAAATATAAAATCTAAATAATAGGGAGCATACAGCCACAGCACTAGATGTTTTCAGCGAAACTTATATATATATTTAAAATTATAGATAAAATAGACGTTTCGATCAAGATTTGATCATCATCAGTACATTAAAATATAAAGATGTTACATAAATTAAAGAATATTGACAATAAACGGTAGTCAAGAATTGATGGTAAAACAATTTTACATTCACTTATAAAACGAGTTAATAGAATTGTAAGTCCAGAGTTGATGATGATAAATTTTGCAATGCTTGTGAAATTGCTTGTGAAACAGATTTCTATTGCGTTAGGAATTCCTTATTACTAGAAGCTATGTGAGACTTCTCACACGAGTACTTTTTACACGAACTTTCACATAGCTTCTAATAATAAAGAATTCGTAACACAATAGAAATCTGTTTCATAAGCGATTGCAAAATTTGTCATCTTCAATTCTGGACTTACAACTTTGTTAACTCGTTTCAAAAGTAAATATAAAATTCTTTCACCATTAATTCTTGACTAACGTTTATTGTCAATATTTGTTAATTTATGTAACATTTCTATGTTTTTATGTACTAATGATGGTCAAATCTTGACCGAAACGTTACTTTATTATAATATAATTTCAAATATATGACTTCCGCTTAAAATATCTAGTGCCGTGGCTGAATGCTCTCTATTATTTATATTTTATATTGTACAAAAGTGTATTTTAATAGTTACACATACGTATATTAACTAACCCCATGGTATGTCGTCAAATTAATTAACATTTAATCTACTTACCGCGACAGATATGCAAGACATTATATATAAAGAAAGAAGAAAACGTAATACAATTGAATTAATTGAATTGCAGAAATGGAACGGCGTTGAAGTATGGATAGATTTCAAGAATTTTTTTGTCAATGAATTTTGTCCAATAAATAAAATGTTTAATTTGTTTTAAAGATATTTTTTGCAAATCACGCACAACATACTTTTATTTCATCTATTTAAAAATATTTTTTAACTATACTCTACGTATATAATGTAATTTAAAATTTTTAATTTTACAATAGTAACGTCAGAATATTAAGACTTTTTCTATTTTCTTACATATTCTTTATTGTTTACGGATTTATGAATTTGACTGACACATTATTTCTTTCACTTAACTCACTCTTTTCGAAAACTATATCATAAACGATAAATCGTATTTACACGTTCGTATTATTTTCATAATCGTAAAATGATATTCAAAATGTAATAAAATAATGTAATTACGAAAATTGATTTCTATCGTGATTTCTCCAAGTAACCCCATTCTTCCTTGATTATATCCGCAGCTTTTTCAGCAATCATATAAACAGGTATGTTTGAGTGCCCCGATACAATTTCGGGCATGATAGACGCATCTGCCACTCGTAATCCTTGAATACCGATCACCTGCAATACATTATACATAATTATTGTATATAAACTAATAAATTAAAAATAAACACTTATATGGCACACTACTTATAAAATTTATAGTAAATAGTACAGTGCGTTTTTCCAGGAAATACCTTTAATTTAGGATCAACGACAGCGGTAGGGTCTCTCTTTGCTCCCATTTTGCAAGTTCCAGAATAGTGAAACGACGTGGAAGTCATGATCCTTAACGCACATTCCCAATAAGCATTGGAATCATACTCATAGTCTTCACATTCATTATAAGTAATGTTTAACAACTGAGAATTCAATGCCTGCATCGCCTTCGTTTGACCAAAATTTAATGCAGTTCTAAGACC